TTTTTTTTGGTGTGTGTGTGGGGGCGGAGGGGGTGTTGAGGACGGCCCCCCTACCATCTTCAACCAAATAGAACGCCTGGTCATTTCAACTGTGTTTAGGACAACTTTCAGTCCAGATGCAGCTATAATGACTGGCAGCTGCCTAACTCAGTTGGTACACCCATGGACTGTTGAAATACACACCTGAGTTCGAATTCCAAATCCGCATGAATGAAATCAAAGAACTATTTCTGAATTGCCAAAAAAAAAAAAAAAAAGCCCAGGGGTTCTGTTCAGGCTAATAGGCTGGTCAGGCGGGGAGAAACAAAAAAAGGACCCCCTCGTCAGGCAGGCCCCCGCTTTTGGCTTCCTTTGCATTAATCAAGCGTAAGGTTTTGAATTTTGAAATCTCTTCAAGCTCCGAAATTCTGAATGACTCGACTTGAGACTTGAGATGTGTCCTCCTCACGAAAAGTTGAAAATGAAAATGAAGATTAGGGCATGTTCGCACCTGGACTTGCTGAAATGTACCTGACTACAAAGGCAGTCATATTCCTTCATAGACTTGACGGCTTTCCAACTGACACGAAAACGTACATACGTGTATATGGCCTTTGTAGACTTGAAGGCTTTCCAACTGTCAAAAGAAAAACCTGCAGCAGTACACAGTTTGGTTAGGTGAAGAAAAAGAAAAAAGAAAAAAGTCCACAAACTTGCTCCGAATTTTGCGCGCTAAAAGTCTCTACTAATATTTCGCTGCTAAGATTGTCTCGACTGCTTCAAGAAAACGTCGCGCCAATTGCTTCTGCATTTTCCGGTAGACAACGCAAGAATACAAAACGTGCCTTCGCACGTTTGACGACGACGGACCAATCAGCAATTCCAGGTTCGTCGTTTGCTCAGATGACATGATGCCAATCGCCTCTGCTCGATCCAACGGCTCCCGATTCAGCAACCCCAACCCCTTGCCCGTCGCCTCGGCACACTGTCGCCCTCGGGAAGGCTGCTGCTCCGCATCCGACCGGCGAAGCAGGTTACAAAGGAGGAGGAGGAGGTCAGCGTCATCGCACTCAGTTCCCGTGCCTCGTTCCATGTCGCCGAGCCGCTCTTCCAAAAGCGATTTCAAAACCTCCATGGCCGGACGATCACTCGACGATGCAGAACCATTGAAACAAATCCGCTTGACGAAATCCCGAGCCCGCAACATATCGTCATCTTCTCTGGTGCCTTCCTTGTTCTCGCTCCACGCCTCCACCGCCTTGATCAGGACCTCCTTGTGCATGGAGAGAACACGCAGCGCCGCAAGCATGTCCTCATCGAAGTTGATCTTCGTGAACCCATTCTCTTTCTTCTCCGATACATCTGAAGCTGACCCTTCACCCATCTTCACCTCCTCCTCACTCGACCTGTCATCGTCGCTTCTCTCTCCTCCGCTCCAATCGCCTAAGGCGCTTGTCCTCGCATCACAAAGCTTTTCAAACTCAACGTGTGGTGTGTCTCCCTCCTCCGTCTTATTAGACGACGGAGGCTCAGTTCCAGCCATAGCCACACTCTGCAGCTTCTGGCTATGGTTGACATGCAAGCCTGCCGTGGAGTTTGGACACTCTTCATCGCCGTTTTTTGATACAGCATGCTCGCAACCATTCTCTCTCTCTAGCTGAGACAGGGATAGATGCCAGCGAACGGGACTTAGCTGTGCCTGCAGAAGGACCACCATCCATTCCCAGAGATCATCGAGCTCGCTCCTCTCGAGGGGGTAATGAACCATTAACGAATCATTCGGGTTATCGTTCAAAACGAAGCCGTATAGGAAAAGCAGCTCCTCGTTCCCCTTATCACCATAGCTAATGCATATCTCTTCTCCTCCTTCCAAAGTTTCCTCAGGGAGTGTGTGGAGATAGATTCCGTGGGGAATGCCACAAGCCGAACCATCAGCATCATCCACTTCCCACTTCACTTTCGCAGTGCGATCGTGATTGCACATGTCGATGCAAGGAAGCAGTCCCTCCACAAGAGGGGCACCTTCCCCAACTCTTTCATCCCCCTCCTCCTCCTCCTCCTCCTCCACCTCCTCCTCCTCCTCCTCCTCCTGCTCTTGCTCTTGCTCTTGCGTTTCGAGATTCCTCAGCGGTTCATGTTCCACTTTGCCGACGATACTGCCGCACTCTGACCTGTCGCCCTGCCAGCCATACCCTGCAGACCCATCATTGACCCCCAAAGAGGTAAGGTGCAAAGGAGTTTGCACCCCACCATCCCCATCCCCCTCTGCAGCAATTAAGCCACTACCGCCTTCAGTGGGACTATTTTCCACCCCGCCGTCTGCTACACCAATTAACCTCCTCCCACCTCGTTCTACCACTCCAGTTAAATCCCCCCCATCATGGACCACCCTATCGATCCCCCTATCAGTTGCCCCATCACTGCCTTCAATTGCAGCAGCAGTTGACGCCCGCACAGTAGTAGAGCCCTTGTCCCCTTCTGCCGCACCGCTTAGCGCCGCCGCGTGAATCGGGCCCCTGCCGTCTCCCACAACATTCTCCCTCTTTCCGCCCCTCTTCTTCACCCCCTTTCCCTCGCAAAGCTGCGCTTGCATTGGCTGCCTCCATCCTGGCTGTGGGAACTGAAGGCTCCGTGACAGATAGATACAATGAGCCCAAAGGAAATCCTCGAACGCCGGAAACGACTTGTCGTCGTCGCCCCTCGCAAGAGTCCCCGTGGCGGAAAGAGCATCGAGCACTGGACATATTACGCCTTCGTAAGTCCTGTGCAGCACCTTCTTTTTGGAAAGTGTGGCTGAGTGCAGTACGGTCCCCTCTATCTCCTTCAACTCCTCTTCGGAGAAATAAAGCGGCACGGTGAAGGTCGCAGGCAACAAGTCAATGTACGGTGCCCATTTTGATTTCCGCCCCCTCCATCGCTCTACCATAAGGAAAACTATAACCAGAAGTCGCTCATCGACCTGCTCACTCTCCAGGAGCTCCTGGTACACAACTCCGTACTCACGATCGGACATCACTGTCGCTGGGGTTATCGCCAATTCGGACGGCATAGCCATAACCACCCCGTGTATTTTTGTGTCGCACGCAGGTGCATAAAGAGCAAGTCCTGCCGCCTCATTCTCACGGCACCTCGCGATTCTGCACCCGCCCATATCCCCTCCATTGCTCTCCATCCACGAGCAAAGCGATTCCCACCTACAATCTTCTTCTTCATAACGACGCCCTTGCTCGCCGTCAACACAACCTGCGGACCGATCAGCCAGCACGTCTCTAGAACTTTCCATTTTCAGAGACAAAAAACGGCAGCAGCACAACTTCGCAAGAGTCTTCACATGCCCAGAGGGGCACTACCGTCTTTCACCCGAATACAACGTACGGTCATTATTGCTGCATCTAGACAAAAAGTTGCCCCAAATACAGCTAGAATGACCATACGACACACTTCGTATTCGGGCGAAGACGGTAGCAAAAAACGCCACACGCCGAGATTTCAAGGACCACCAACAGCTGAGATGCCAAGATCTCACCGACGACTGAGATTCCCCGATCTCTCAGTTGCTCTCCGGATTGAAGAAATGAAGAGTCAAGTGCGTAAAGTGTGACCGTTCTGCTGCTGAACACCGTCTTGAACCCATAACTGCTCGGCCCACACACACACACATACACACACAGAGTGCAGAGTGCAAGATTCTGAAAAAGGCCACCTTTTTTCTGATGATGTCAACTTTTCCGCTCCCACAAAATTCTTTAAAGGATCTCAAACAATTTATTTATTTTTATTTTATTTTTATTTTTTTTGGGGAGGGGGGAAGGTCACATGACGTGGCCACCTTTTTTCTGATGTATTGTCCCGACTGAACACAAAAAGCGAATGATGGCCTTCTTAAAAAAATAAAAAAATAATAAAAATAAAAAAGGAAGAGTGATGGCCTGACTAAGAAGCCATGTCTGCTTCCAAAGAGAAGATGATGATGCTATGTAGGAAACAAACTGCAAGAAATTTGAAAGAAAATATTTTTCCAACTTTTCTCTTCTTATTTTTCTTTCTTTTTCTTCTTCTTTCTTTTTCAAACTACCTGTGACTACCATTTTTTCACTCTTTTTTTCTTTACATATGGATGAAAGAAAGATGCACCATGGCATTATTCTTATATCATTATTGTTTAATAACTTTAAATTTGTTTCTACATTCCCCTATCCCAGGGTTCAAACTCGTCCCGACTCTCGTTACACAACAGTTAAGGGTGTTTTTTTGACTGTAGGGTGTACCATAGTTATAACTTAGTTTATTTTTGTGATATTGCAATTTTTCACAGGGGACGGGCTCTGGTAGCTGACTGCACCTGGAGACCTCGTTGCCCCTGAACTTGACATCTGTGGACACTGTTTTTGTAGCCTTGCGCACTGGGCTCCTTAAAAAAAAAAAAAAAAAAAAAAAAAACAACAACAACAACAACAATTAAGGGTGTGGGCATTGTGGACTGGTCACTGAATAACGTGCGTACATCATCAAGAAACACCCCCATCGTACATTCTCCATTTACGTGCGTCATTCTTGCCCAGGGGCCATATTCGTAATTTACCTTTCTCTGTATCGTTCCAATTTACCGGATGTCCCCAAGGAGACTCCCCCTCTTACATTCGCGTGCCTGAGCGTTTTAAACTTTAAATTTTAAAGTAGAAAACACGAAAAGGGGTTCGAAGTTTGGACCTCAAAGTTTGAATCCATCATGGGCTGACGATCACAAGAGTTAAGTGGGGGTGCTGCATCGGGGGAACACACAGCCAGGGAGACACTCTTATCAGTGTTATTACGATCATTAATTTTTTTCTTTTGCGATTATTAAGTTATTAGTATTACTACCGTCTTCACCCGAATAGAAAGCCCGGTCATTATATCCATATCTGTTACAATTCCGAGTCCAGATGCAGATATAATGACCGGGCGTTCTATTCGGGTGAAGACGGTAGCAATAGTAATAAGATATAATATCAACCAACGGGCTTAGCTCAGTTGGTAGTACACCCATGAACTGTTGAAAGCCAGACCTGAGTTCGAATCCAGAGGCAATCAGATAACCAGAATAAATGTATGGGAAAGACCAGAGTAGGCCCCTTCAGATTTTAAAAAAAAAAAAAAAAACGGGGGGGAGCACCCCCCTAAAATTCTTCTTTGAATTTCTAGGCCTTGTAAGGCCGACCAGGTAGGGACAAACTGGGCTGCATAGTGGTGCAGGAGGCGGAAGCAGAATCCATTTCGGATTTGGAAATCAATTCAACCACCTTCATGTTCACACTCCTCTCTCTCTCTCTCTCTCTCTCTCTCTCTCTCTCTCTCTCTCTCTCTCTCTCTCTCTCTCTCTCTCTCTCTCTCTCTC